GCCTGTCACTTCTCACACCCTCGAACCCACCCCCATGTCTGAAATTTTTCTTCTGCGCATTCAAGGTTACTGTTGGCTTTGTTGAAGTTACGTGACACTTGCTTTACGTATATGTAAATTATCCCTGAACCCAAGCACTGCAGTCGGAAGTGGAGGTAAAGCTGCGCGTATGCTTGTAATCGGTATTGGACAGACGAGTGTGATAAGGCTCACGTCAACCCCGGGAGACTAGTCCCTGTACCCGGTTGATAGGAATCCGTGTGCGGTTCCAATTACAGGAAATTCATGACACAAAGAACATTTGTTGTCTGATTGTTATAAGTACAACTACTGGTTTCTGAAGAAACACTCTGCAGCATACCATTTCTGTCGAGGACCTGGTTCGAATCTCAGCCTCGTGATTATTTTGCCCTGCTTAGCTATTTCGCAGCTTTCAGTAATATATCTCCAGACTGATACCATAACAATATTTAAAATAAGCCAAAGCAGCTTTTCTTCCTCGTCGCTTCCAATGTACCATTCAAGTTTAGCTTAGCGTTCATTACTCAGCGCTCTAGTTAAGTTGTAAACTAAACCAAGGAACAAAACTACTCTCCAATGTTGTGATGTAAGATATCTAGAAAAGGGGCACATCGTTCCCAAACCAAACCACTTCAAATTTCTCATTTGACGCTAAATGCCCTAAATGCACCTTGAAGCAACTGTCTGTCTGTCTGTCTGTCTGTATATATTTTAACATGTTTGAGGTTTGGGTTTGACGATCGAATTCATTGAACCTTTATACGACTTGTTACAACATCTTCGACTGGACACTCTCGACTTCTGACCACACTACATAATCCACTCCTCCTCGAGCAAATGTCACTCACTGTTATATAGCCTCGGGTCTGATCTCATGAAAAACACAATGCCTAGCAATGGACGTCTACTATTTTCACGTATTGTTGTAGGCATTTCCTAGCAATGGGTTGTTTACCAAGAATCCGTCTCCGAGGGGAAGTGTTTATCGAGCCGTTGCCNGCCGCTCCACGTAGTTACCATATCCAGAAATTCTAAAAGACGTTACTCACTAATATAGCTGAGCCCTTCTTGAGAAGCTGCCAATTTCTCAGCTACTCAAGAACTTCCCAGCATTTTATGGAACCCGAAGGTTCGTTACGGTGTTCACAAGAGCCCTTCACTGGTCCCTATTCTGATCCAGATCAATCCAATCCATACCATCCCATCCTGTCTCTCTAAAATCCATTTTGATATAGTCCACCAACCTACGTCTTGGTCTTTCTAGTGGTCTCCTTCCTTCCGGCTTTCCCATCAGTATCCTATATGCATTCCTTGTCTTCCCATTCGTACTACATGCCCTGCCCAACTCATCATCCTTGACTTGATCATTCTAATTATACTCGTACTTGGAGAAGGGTACAAGTTACGAAGCTCCTCGTTATGCAGTTTTCTCCAACCTCCTGTCACTTCATCCCTCTTCGGTCCAAATATTCTCCTCAACACCCTGTTCTCAAACACCCTCAGTCTATGTTCCTCCCTTAATGTCAGAGACAAAGTTTCACATATATACTGAACCACAGGCAAATCTATAATTTTGTATATTCTAATTTTTATGTTTTTAGACAGCAGACTGGAAGACGAAAACTAAGAAGTTACAGGCCTTAAAATTCTATACATTATATATTACTTTCATTTTCTGTTGGATGTGTTGTTTTTGAGAAAGAATGTTAAATCTCACCTCCTGATTTATTTGATTGATGCGGAACAGACCGGCTCTGGGGCCCATCCACATACCTAACCAATGACTGCCGGGGGTAAAGCGGCCGGGCCGTGAAGCTCACCACTCACCTCCAACTATTGCCGAGGTCAAGAATATGTGGGTCTATACATTCACTCCCACTTACGTGTTCATGGTGTAATTCTTAATCAGTTAATCACAAGGAAAACTTTACTTAAAACGGAGATGCCTGCGGCCCAACTGCTTCAGAATTTCTCCAGGGAACGTGGACAGGCAGATACAAACTCATTGTTATTTTTTCGTTTTATGCATTTTATGTAAAAGGGCACAGTTAACTACGAAATAAAATAGCCACAGTGAGCCTTTTACTGGTCTACGTCGCACAGCCATAGCTGTGAGCGATGTTACTTTTATTTCAGTTTCTGTATGTCGAAACACTGGCTAGAGCATACGCTACTGGGTTCTGTAAGCTGGTTAGCATGACAGAGCCGCTACGTCACGATTCGTGAGGCGCGGCCCCGCGTTAATAAAAACCTGTTTCAATCAGCTTCCGTCACACAAAAAGATAAGCTGAAGCTCTCATCAACTGGAAGGAACCAAAGGTCTCCAGATTGTAAATAATTACATTGTGCTGCCTGCTTTACAGTCAGTTTCAACGCTAACGAGCTCCTTGCATTTTACACCTCTGTGTTAAATGCAATGAATATGTAGCTTCACGCTGTGGCTGCTTTGCCCCGAGTATCATTTGAACAGGAGGCTGGGAAATCCACGGAATAGACTCAATGGCAAAAGAAAATATTATCGTGCGAGTAACCAGCCCTCAGTCGTCCAGCCCGCTTAAACTACATCACCTTTGTGTAATACTGAGAATACGAATGCGTGGAGCTATAACTTCACTCCCTATACGTCTTCATGACATGGTGTTTAACTATCCAAATGGCAAAATTTACAAGGGAACCGACAGGGAATACGATGCTTGGATCAGATTCGAGCCACGTACGGCACGATTACGTTTATGCTAGTGACCATGACTTTCCTGTAACAGCCCATGCTCCTTTGAAGCCTCAGGGCTCTCTTTCTAAAGAGTTCTTGAATCACCTGTTGTGAGAGTCGTGGCGCGGATTGTTCAGCGCAGCGCAGCATTTCCACGAAATATGCCGTGCTTAGCGGAAGTTGGACGAAGATGTAATTGGGTATTCCTCGCCATATCGCAAGAGCACACGTCACAGAGGCAAGCTCGAGGACTCGTGTCAATTTGAAGGCTATTGCGTATGCATACACCAGATACTTCTTGCGGATGTGTCATTAGTCTCCGCTGGAGAACACCCTGAACAGCACCGCGCTATCGGTCAGGACTGTGTCATTTCCTGTCGCTTGCACACAAGGCATTTAGGATCTGTGAATTGTGGCAGTATGGTGGAGTGTCTCTTCAGTATGACGTGTTTAAGGTGCAACTGTGTTAGTGCATTATTTTTATTATCATTCACGATAATTTTTACCAGTGGATTTAATTTGAATTGGAAAGATGCCTATATATTTCAAGACCCGCAGGGGGACGTTGGGAGTTACTTCGGCTTCACTGTTGCGTTACGGCAACAAGGGTACACACACTGGTAAGTACATCTGTGAGGGGCATTCTAGAGGGAGCGTTCTGTTTGTGCAGAGGTCACGCATGTTGAACTTGTACCTGAAAAGTTGTATTTTAGTTCAATGCCTGTTCATTGTCTAAGCCACTCCGAAGATGAAAAGAGAAAGTAATGCTCTGAAGAACAAAACTGTTCAGGCACGTGAAAATTCATGGTCGGTTCCGTTCATCGACGGAGATTATTTCATTTCGTCTTTTCAACTGCGTACGTTATAACAGAATGATCATGTGATTGTTGGAATAGGAAAGATGAGAACTGAAATGCTCGTGAATTATTTGCTATATATCCAACAAACTTTCTGGGGAGACTGGAAAATGGCACTAAAACATAAATCCTAATAACCGATCTCCGGGCTGAAATTCGAATCCGGGATCATTCTAATTCAAAGTAGGTTGTTACCCCTCAAATTTCGGTACGGTTGTGCTAGAAGAGTTCAGTATGATTTCGGACGACATTTTGGTTATTATAGAATATTGTTTGCTGGAAAATGTAACCGCATGGGCGCTTTGTCGTAGGATGATAGGATAAATGTTAATTTGGAAGGGCGTGGAAGGACGTGGAAGGACGCAGTTTTGGTATATTAAGCTACTAATCCAGTGTTTTTTGGAGGGACGATGGGACCATTTGTGATTAGGTGGGTTAGTATGATTTGTGTTAGGTCTGGTAACTATAAAACTTCCAGTTTTCTTCAGTATATTTTTTCGTCTCTATACTAAAGGAAACATATGCTGACAAGGTATGCATGTAACCCTGGCCTGCTGTCTTGTCATGAGGGCTGGGGCATCCTTCCAGACACGTTTCTTTTGGTGTCTATTTCTTGCAGTAGGAGGAGAGAGAGAGAGAGTCCGTAAATCAGACGAATGAACTTAAATGCGCAGTGACGTAGTTTAGGCGTGTTACTACATTAAAACAGGAACCAAATTCGTAATTTTTTTTTCCTTGGCACTACAGCCCCAGTGGGCCTAGGCCTATCTCCATGAACTCCGTTCACTTCGGTTTTTCTAGATCTTACACATTCGGTAGGACTCTTTGGGCAGGTGATCAGCTCGTCGCAAGGCCTCTACCAGTACACAAACACAGAAAAACGCACACAAACATCCATGCCCTGAGTGGGATTCGAACCCACGATCCCGGCTTCCGAGCGAGCGAAGACAGTGCACACCTTAGACTGCTCGGCTACCGTGACCGGCTAAAATCGTAATTACTAAAGTTCATAAATATGAGAGTCTTAAGTGTTCTTCATGTTACGAGTGAATTAATTCCAGTGAAGTGTGATTGAGAAATATTGAGGTAACAGTTATTATAAAGGATTAAGCAATTTTCTTGTTCTACTAAATGAAGTGTTTTATGAACACTGTAAGGAAGATTTGGCCTCCGCAAACGCAACGAGAACTGATTGACTCAGTAACTAACCCTTGCTCAAGGAGGTTCATGGAGTTCGCATTATCAGTCTCTCGGCTTTCATATTTCTATCGAACCAGATAATGCATGTGTCATTTGCTTCTTCTCAGGAATTCTTATATTTTCTTCTACCCTGAAGATGGAGGCGATACGTTCCTCCGAAACTTCGGTTAACACCACTTATACACAGTGCCAAATCCCAGAAGACTGCTCTCTTCATTGTTAATATTTTCAGCACAAACATACAGCTCTTAAGAAAAACCATAAACTCAGCACTTACCTCGGCGTTGTTTCAAAACCTGTCCAACCATCACAATCTCTCATCTCGACAAATATTTTCATGTGTGGTCAAGCTCGCGAGAGCTTGTGAAGATTTGTAAGTGGACGACGGAAAACTTCTAACCCGTCTTTAGGGGCGAAAATAGAAGTTGTCTAGGGAAGACAAGCGAGCAACATAGAACTTTAGACCTAGTAGAGAGGTAACGAATTCTCTCATCTTTGTACCACATAAAATACAAGCACTATTGCCTCGCTTCTTAGTGTTGCCAGAGACTGGACGGCGGAGCCACAAGATGAAGTCCCAGACCCAAATAAACCAGACTCAGTTGAATAAATAAAAAGAGTCCGACAGAAGGAATTATCAGGGGGACTTTATGGTAAGAGAGAGGGCCATGGTCTCAGTGGCCGCCCTGCCGAATGGACCCAGTTGGACTCCACTCCCCCACTAAGCGAATTAAAAAAAAAGGGCCATGGTCGGGGAGAGATCCAGTCCAGAGAGAAGAAGAAATATTCCATCAGGAGATGCAGAGTGCGTTGGAATGAAAAATGAGCAACAGTCTATATTTCAGAAAGGGCTGTGATCTCTCATTCCAAGAAAGGGACTGTTTCCTTTTACATAAAATTCTCAAGAGATGTGAAATCTCTTTGGCCGTGTTCTAATCAAGTTTCATGTAAACGTTATTCCAAGATGGATATTCATGTTATGTTCTTGTACAAGAACCCGCAGTACTGTGAAAGACACCAACGATCTGAAGTAGGTCAGCATGTCAACTCATCAGTATGATAAACCAGTCACATTCGCTACTAATTGTGATGAAAGCCAGTGTGGGCGAGTGATTCACCCGTGTCGTGTCGTGTGCGCTGTTTCAAGCAAGTCCGAATCACCACAGGCAACAGCCATTTGAAGAGGGCTCAGAATAAATTACCAGATATCTGCATCAACAAACAGAAACGAGGTAAAGGTAAAGATAACACTGCCCCTCTGCCATGTAGTTGTATAGACAGAACTGAGAGAGATATCGTCATATTAACCTGGCTGCTTGGTAAACATGAGCTGGTCACTGTAGTCGTGCGGTCTAAGGCATGAATTGTCTTCGTTCGCTCTGACGCTGGGATGGTGGGTTCGAATCCCACTTAAGGCATGGATGTTTGGTGTTTATTTTGTGCCTGTGTTGTCCTATGCTTAGGTAGTGGCCTTGCGACGGGCTGATCACTCGTCCAAGGAGTCCTACTGTTTGTAAAAAGCGTTTACGGAATTGAATAAGAGGCCAAGGACCTGAATGGGCTGGAAGAGCCACTGGGGGGGGGGGACTTAGTAAAAATGACTCGCCAGCTTCACGATCCGGCCGTTTCGTCTTCCATTAGCTAGTCTTTTGTACTCTTATTAGAGGCTGTGTGAGCCCTGGATGTAGTGAAAAAGAGAAAAATTTCAAGGAAAAAACTGAACTTGGTCGTTCAGTATTTCAGTTTAATGAATGTGTTATGTTGAAATGAGGTTCGTAATGAAATTATGAGAAGAATATATTCATTAACTCTTTGTTGTTATTTATTTCAGTAACTATCAACATTCTGATTATTTTCCAAAACTCCGAAAATAGGCATGTACAATAATTTTGACAGTTGTTTTGAATGTTTCTGAAAAATGGTCCTTTAAACTGAAGAATGCCGATTATTTGCTGGGAGTTCTCTCCTGCTAAACCTTCATTTAGAATATTTCTCCTTCCAAGGTCAAGAATTAGTAAAGCTAAGGCTTGGCACAATGCCAAAACTATTACACGTGATTACGTTCCTAGAAATATGTAGGGAAATATTCATGAGCCATTGCGTTGCTAGAAGAGTGTTTTATTTCTATTGGAGCCCGAAGATGCTTTAAAACCTTCTCAAGGTCACTGTTACGTCAGTGCAATCATAATTCTGTATTCCTCGCTATAATTATTGTACCTATTTATCTCAGCTCTGCGATGACTCGTGAGTTTACTCAGACAGTGGCAGTAGATATGCACAAGCAGGCTACAGACTGATAATGTTTCAACTTCAGAGCTAATTGCTTCAAAGATACTGTGAGTAGGTAAGGTTACAAATGGAGATGGTCCTAGCCTATTTGACGATATGCCTACTATCCCGACATTCGCCTGAACAGACTGAGGAAAACTACGAAATGCATCGGTCAGAATTTTTAGTAATCATCCGAGTTTAGAACAGTTTACTATCCAATAAAAGTGTACCGTATTAGTGCTATTCCAACATCCCATGAAGTTCACCAACAGACTATGGCGATGCACCATGTGGTGATATTGCGTCTGCAGTATGATTTGCTAATGACCTGTCACCCTTGTCATGAAGACTGTGTTACACGACAAGAAATACATTCATACACACTACTATTTTGAAACATGTTATTTCATACGGTAAAAAGAATAAAGATTCAGTGGCTCAGTTTTAACATACGCTTGAAATTAAATTTCAGACAACTAATACCTCACATATTCAATTATACTTTAAATAGAACTAGCGCAAATTCGTCCTATGTACGGTATTACTGGCATCCCTGAATCTGTCCATCTTCTCGTATTCTGAAAACAAATCCACAAACTTCGTAAGCCTGAGTGTAGCACACTACTGACAGTAGCCTTTAGGGATTATCCCCTCATATTGGTAGAAGGAATGGGAGTTGTGGGTTTAAGGGACTCTAAATGTGAAGGTCAAGGCTCTTACATTTCTGCATGAGGTTGGGACACATAATTCGTGTTTTCGTTTGTATGAAAAAAAAAGAATGTTCCTTTCTGGTTTTTCACGACGGGCATTTTTGTTGAATTAGTTATTTGTCGTTTCGTCGAAGCGAGAAGGGCGGTTAGTATCTGGATCCTTTTCTAAACGAAATATTTTAGAAAATAAGTGCAACATATGAAACTTTGAGTGTCCAGCGCCAACGCTTGTTAGTTCCAACTTAATGAAAGGAGTTGCTATCCAGCTATGGTCACCAAAAGTACCCTGCATTCTAGGAGACCTGACAAATTCATCCTTGCAAACCCCTCAATATCCCTAGCGCATATTCAGTCATGATTCCTCCAAGAATGTCTCTTGGAATCCGAGGTTTCCTGAAAGATTTCCAGGGACAGGTGTGGTTCGAGGATATAAAGAGGTCCTTATCATTTGTATCGGCGATAGGTTGACAATTGTGATAAACTCATATCCGAAAAATTGTACCATCACATACTACACTTGCCTCCACTGGAACTGCCTGTGTAATTGTTGTGACAAATTTCATGTAGCACTTCAGTTAGCAC